TTTAGACGTCCCTGCCCTGCAGGCACAGATTTAATCTGCCTATTTCTCCCCTAGGGTTGAAATGGTTATATCTGTAGTCCTTAGCTGAGCTTGGGACTCAGTTTGACTTATGATTGTGCGGCCGCTGGCGGGTCGTCACCGTCCTCTTTGATAGATTCTATATTTAGACGTCCCTGCCCTGCAGGCATGGATTTCTGTTTTATCTACCTATTTCTCCCTTAGGGTGGAAATAGCTATATCTGCAGTCCTCAGCAGTGCTTAGGACTCAAGTTTGGTTCATGTTCTTTAGGAGTCCTTAACTTAAGTGCTCCGAGACTGGGCTTGCAGAGCAGGTCATTCTGTATCTGCTCATAGCACGGTGTGATTGGATGCATTCCCCATACACAACATATGAGAATGTTCCAAAGGGAACGCTCTGGTTTCTGATGTAACCTCGGTTCCCTGAGATAAGAGAACGAGCATTGTGTCACTTGCCGTGCTATAAGCTGCACGCAAATCGATGACTGTTGCTTCAGTCGAATGATTCTGATGAAATGGCGCTCCTAGCCGACTTATATAGAGCTCGGCTCCGCCCATTCTGGTGGGCTAGAGTGCCATTGGTTTGTGCAGCTACACAAACATGAACAAATCAGGCTTCAGTACCAATGTAAACAGGAGTTCCCCTTCACGAACTCAAGCTGCATCGAAACGCTATGGGAACGCCTTCAGCGTGACCACATTCTGAATCATGTGTATAATCAGACCAATGGATGGGTGAGACGTCACGGGCGGGTGACGTAGAGACCAGGAAGCTATAAAAGCACGTGCGGTGGAACCGGCATCAGCTTTATGTCATTCAGCAAATGCTCTGTGTGTGTCAGTCAACTCTTTGTTGTGAGTCTTATTTAGTGTTGTTTGTCCCAACCAATAAGCTCCATTATGTCTTAAGCTGAGGCTAAGACAAAGCACTCTAAGAGCGAGAGCAGACCACGTTATAGGCTGTGTGTTCCTCCCTGTCTGCGTTATATTACAGATGGGGATACACACAGTCTGTGCATGGTCTGCTTGGGAGCGAAGCACGCAGAGTCAGCTCTCGAGGGAGAGCAGGGTCTTCCTCCTAGATGCCCCGCTTGCGCCTTCTGGCCTGTTCAGCGACGCCATCAATTCCATCGTCGACAGGTACCAGGAGGCTCGTAAACAAGCGGCGGCATTTCAGCGGTTCCTCCCTCGCCGCTCTCTGGCTCAGGGGGCTGCCGGGCGGGAGCAGCCATCTCCGCGTACCAGCTCATCACACAGAGAGGCTCAGAAACAGAGCGGGTTTGGGTCGGGGACTTCCAAGCCTAAGCCGGATCTGCGGACCATCCTTCAGGCAAAGAATTCCTCGGCCAAGAAGTCCTGATGCAAGTGGCTCAGGACTTCTGAGGGCAGGCCCCTCTGGGGAAGAGAGGTGTACACCGCATTACATGGTGCCCATCTCTCCTCAGTGCCCTCAGGAGATTGGTCTGCCAACCCGCCACTTACGGTGCTTCAGGGCACAGCGGTCTCCGGCGAGCACTTCTCTCAGTCACCGCACGGAAACGTAGCGGTACTAGGAGGCTCGCTACCTCTTCGGAGGTCTCTGGAATAGCTAGTTCAGCCGTCCCCTGCCGGTCCGCCGCTTCAGGGCACTGAGCTAGCCGCTCCGATTACACCAGAGGTCAGTCTCAAGAGACTGATTCCCTTAGTAGACTATTTGGCAGCGTGGAAACTGTGGGTCCTGCACACTGTAGAGAGAGGCTACAGAATCCAGTTTGCTTCTCCTCCGCCTCAGTTCAACGGGGTTATCCCCAATCTGGTTGGTCCCGAGCAGGCTCTGGTATTGGAGCAATAAGTAGACACTCTCTTGAGGAAGGAGGCCATCGAGGTGGTCCTGGTTCTGGTTTGGAGGGTTGTGTCCCATTTTAGATCTGCGTCATTTGAACCGCTCTGTCATGCGACTGAAGTTCAGGATGCTCACTATCAAGCAGGTCGTGTCTCAGATCAGATCCGAGGATTGGTTTCTCACGATCGATCTAAAAGACGCATACTTCCACATATCCACCCATCACAGGAAGTTCCTGAGGTTTGCTTTCGGGGCCAAGGCTTACCAATATCGGGTTCTTCCTTTCGGCCTTGCACTCTCACCCCGCACTTTCATGAAGTGTGTGGATGCTGCTCTGGCTCCGCTGCGACTCCAGGGCATCCGCATACTGAATTATATCAATGATTGGTTGATATTAGCTCAATCGGAGCAGGTGGCGGTTCGGCATCGAGATGCTGTTCTCACCCACATGAAAGAGCTGGGGTTAAGACTAAACGCCAAGAAAAGTGTACCATCCATTAGATGGTTCTCCATTAGAACCAGAGGACCACTTATCTGGGCGTGGTGTGGGATTCGACCACAATGCAGGCACGTTTGTCCCCTGCTCGGATCAATTCGATCTTCACTGCAGTCGCGAGAGTGAGAGAAGGCCAGTCACTCACTGTCAAGCAGTTTCAGAGACTGCTGGGTCTGATGGCAGCTGCGTCCAACGTGATACCTTTTGGCCTGCTGTACATGAGACCCCTACAGTGGTGGCTCAAGACCAAAGGGTTCTCCCCGAGTGGAAACCCGTTTCGCATGCTCAAGGTCACGCGGCGCTGCCTACTTGCCTTAGACATATGGAGGAAACCTTGGTTCTTGTCTCAGGGCCCGGTGCTGGGAGCTCCTTGTCGCCGCGTAATGCTAGCGAAGCACGCGTCCCTCACTGATTGGGGAGCGGTCATGAGTGGCCGCTCGGCCCGCGGTCTGTGGAGTGGTCGACATCTCACGAGGCACATCAACTGCCTGGAGATGCTGGCCATGTTTCTAGCATTGAGACACTTCCTCCCGGACCTAAGAGATCACCATGTGTTGGTGCGCACCGACAACACAGCGGTGGTCTCTCCCTGGGCATCTCAATGTGTGAGCAGACATCCTGTCGAGGCACCCCGAGGTGGTGAAGCAGATATGAAGAGCTTTTGGCCAGGCTCAGGTGGACCTGTTTGCGACTCGAGAGACATCGCACTGTCCCCTCTGGTTCTCTCTGACTCATCCAGCTCCACTGGGGCTGGATGCCATGGTACAGACTTGCCCGAGGCGTCGTCTGTATGCTTTTCCCCCAATCGCTCTGCTCCCGGGAGTTCTGGAGAGAGTGCGCCGGGACGGGGTCCGTCTACTGCTAGTGGCCCCGTTCTGGCCAGACCGAGTATGGTACTCAGACCTGATTTCCCTCCTCGATGGCTCTCCATGGGACATTCCCATCAGGAGGGACCTCCTCTCAAAGCTGTGGAAGTTATGGGTGTGGCCTCTGAGGGGGCACAACTCGTAGCTTCCGGTCTCTCAACCGAGGTTGTTGAGACCATTCTCCAATCCAGAGCTCCCTCAACGAGGAGACTGTATGCCCTGAAGTGGAAGCTTTTCACTTCTTGGTGAGGAGATTGCCAGCTTGACCCAGTTAACTGCCCAGTTGGTACAGTGCTGGAGTTCCTGCAGGCCCGTTTCTCCGCAGGGTTGACCCACTCCACCCTGAAGGTCTATGTGGCGACCATTGCGGCCCACCACACCCCTCTCGGTGGGCAGTCAGTGGGCAGACACCCTCTGGTTACATGTTTCCTCCGCGGTGTGCTGAGGCCTTCGGTACAATCTCGCGTCCCCCCGTGGGACCTGGCTGTGGTGCTAGAAGCTCTCTGTAGGACTCCCTTCGAGCCTATTGAGGAGATATCTGATCACCATCTTACTGTAAAGACCTTTCTTTTGGCTATATCTTCTCTCAAGAGAGTTGGGGATCTGCAGGCCCTCTCAGTGGCCCCTTCCTACCTAGACTTTGCGCCTGGTCTGGCTAAGTCTTTCCTCTGCCCTAGAGCGGGTTAGGTTCTTAAGGTTCCCTCCTCTAAACCGCGGCCTGTCATACTCCAGGCCTTCTGTCCTCCTCACTTCCGGTAGCCCAAACAGCAGAAGCTTAATTGTATGTGTCCAGTGCGAGCACTGGACACATACGTCCACAGAGCTGCCCTGTGGAGGAAATTGGACCAGTTGCTAG